GACCTTGCGAAATTTCCCAGTGAAGTTGTAGTGTCTGGCGATTAGATCATCCATGGTTCCTACTGGCTTGGTTGGTTTTAAATCCAACGTGCAACCCACCACAGGCCACAGAGGGGTGCTGGTGGACTTGGGAAGCTGGGTATCCAGTTCTCCTCTTAGTATGATGTCATGTAAGCAAGGTTTTCTCAAGTCAGGTAAAAATGCTTAGAGAGGACGAATGTGGTCCACAAATCCAACAACTGCATCATGAAAACGCTAGAAGAAATAAATAGCCGTAAATTAGAACTGCATAATGGTATAATACCACATTATTTCCCAGTGAAGTTGTAGTGTCTGGCGATTAGGTCATCCATGGTTCCTACTGGCTTGGTTGGTTTTAAATCCAACGTGCAACCCACCACAGGCCACAGAGGGGTGCTGGTGGACTTGGGAAGCTGGGTATCCAGTTCTCCTCTTAAGATCTTGACATTTGTTTCTTTCCTCTTCCCAGCCTTTCACCTAACATGCCATGTGTTTCCTGTCAACTCCGCGCCCAATCGCTCCCATGCCAACTAAACGCAGATGATTTTCAGCCATTACAACGGACAGTTAAAGAAACATTCCATGGAAAGTGTCCGGAGCATCGTGCACGATTCGCACACAAGTCAGTCAACACAAAATCTGTGAATTCTTCAGCACTTAGCATGCAAGAATTTCCCCTACAGCTGCAGTTCATATTTCATGATCACAAAGCTTTACAATTAGTGCCAAACTGATGATTGGTGGAGCCAAAGGATGTTTGACCCACACAAAAAATATCACAAATCCTGTTTCCATCACATGGCACGTATGAATCACTGAGGCAACACTTTCCCTAAAATGAGTTCTGGATTAAAAACAAGTCCACAAACAATATCCATTCAACCCTCCCTGTGTAAAAATAAACAAACAAAAAAATGCATTTACAGTAACATACTTACTATGGATATCACAAGGACAAGATTCAGGAGGGTTAAAAAGTAAAAATGTGTAGCTCATTTTTTTTTTTTTTTTCACATTAATTTTTTTCTGTACAAAATTGTGTTATTTGAGCCTTTTATTTTTTAAGTATTATTAGTTTTTTTATACAAGAAATATAATTTATAGAATACATAATGACATTCTGGGAAAGAAATGTTCTTCAACCTTAGTCCATAGAATAAGTATTTATTTATAAATGTATCAGATTAAATTAATCCATTATTATTATTACTACTACTACTACATTTATTATGCATTTTAAATTATTATTAATGAATGAATATATTTTTAATAATATATATA